CGGGGTGGTGCAGTACCGCATCGTGGCCCAGAGCCCGCAGAGCCCCTCCCAGAGCATGTTCGCCATCCACAGCGAGACGGGGGACATCGTGACGCTGGCCGCCGGCCTGGACCGAGAGGTGAGCTGGGTGCCGAGCGGCTGGGGAGCGCGGGCTGGGCGCTGCAGCTGGGCGGACAGGTGACCCAGCCCTGGTTGTGTCCCCTGGGCCCGCTGGTCCACAGAGGACATCGGAGGCCCTGAGTGGGTGTCTCCAGTGGGATACATCACAGAGGAGCTGGGAGCCGCCCCGGCCGCCCGTCCGGTGGGCCTGGAGGGGACAGTCTCAGCACGGCAGATGCCACACCCCACCCCGCCGGTCTCTGTGCTGGTCCGTGAAGTTCCTGCTGGCGTGTGCGTGGGGGGCGGAGGGCTCAGACAAGCGGGGGGCAGCTCTCTGGGCCCCGGGGCACAGCCACAGCAGGACTCTGCGTCTGGGAGGTTTGACAACCCTCTGGGGACCTGGACACCCACCCCACATCCAGCCCCGACGTCTGCGGAGCGGGCCGTCCTGCCAAGGCCCCTGTGCACCCCTCCACGATGGAGCGGGATCCACGGAAAGGGCTGCGCTTTTCACTCAGGCCAGGAATCACTGGAGCCAAATCGACGAGCCACGTGTTTGGTGCTGGCACAGTGACTCCCCACGTCCCCAACACCACGAGGAGGGTGCCTCCGTCACCCCGCCACGTGGACTCGAGGCCATCTTGGAGCGGGTAGGATGGGGGCATTTGCTGTCGCCTCGGTGAGGCATCCCTCCGCTGAGCACAGCAGCGTGTCCGGGCCCCAGGCCACGTTGTTCTGTCTGGACAGTCACCTGCTCCAGGTCCCTGGGGGATTCCCCAGGCCCTGGCTGACAGCCCCCCGCCTGGGGCACCCAGCCCCCCCGAGCTTCCCAGGCAGGTGTCGCCTCCTCTAGGAGTCCGGCTGACTGGCCTCCTGTTTGCTCTGCAACCAGAGGCCGGCGTGTCCCAGACACAGTGACCTAGGAAACCCCCTGGCCCCCAGGACCCTCGCTGAGCTCGGAGTAGAGGGCTGCTCCCCGGGGTCCAGCAGGCGGGGGGCAGCGGCTTCCTGGCAGCACTCGCCTTGGTGGCCCTTGAGTCCCCTCTCTGTCCCCTCTCTGTCCCCTAACCGTGAGCTTGCTGAGGGCTGCTCTGTGAGCCGAGGCTGGCGAGGAAGTACAGGTTCTCTGTTCCCAGGCTGTACCCCATAGCCTGTGATCTGGCCAGGTTTGGGGAGCAGCAGGGACTCCAAATGTGTGGAGACCTTCCTAAGGGGGGCGGAGCAGATGGGGGAGAGGGAGGGAGGGAGCACAGATTCTCACTGGCCCACTAGCAGCTCCAAAGTCTGGGCTACAGTCTCAGCTGGCAACTATGCCCCCCCAGTAGACCTGGGGCCCCCCCAGCAGAGCAGAAAGCGGAGGCTGGTGACTGTGCCCCTGCCAGTAGGCCTGCCCCCCAGCAGGGCGGAGGGCCGCGGCTCAGTTCAGGCTCACTGATTTGCAGGCGGACAGAGCCCGGCTGTCCATCTCCAAAGGAGCTTCTGTTCAATATTTGATGACTCGA